AAGTCTGTGAGTACTTTGACTCTCACCTGACGGAGAAGCTTGCCTCACTGTTCCAGGAGGCAAAGCTAAATCCCTCGTGACTTCAAATACGCAACCATCGTCCACATCTACGAGTGCAAAGGAAACTGGCAGCTTTGTGACAGTCCCTGAGGCATCATCTTCCTTAACATTGCAGAAAAATATTTTCCGAGGCATACTCGATCGCCTAAACAAGTACCCGGTGCTGCAAATCTTTCCAGAAACACAGAGCCGGTTTGCAAATGCTGTAGAAACGCTGGCATGATCTTTGCGGTTGCCAACTATAAAAGCGACAGGAAGTGCGGACCGACATCTATATCGGAAGTCTGAAAAGGCCTTTGAAACAGTGAATCGCGATAGACCCTGGAGAATCGCGCTGAAACTCCGGTGTCGGGAACAATCCACGAAGGCGATGAGATAATACTCGTCGGGATGGTATAGCATGTTGCGGAAAAAGGGGCAAGAATCTCGTACATGGTCTAACTAGGGAAGTCGGACATAAGGATTCCTTGCAGTAGGGATTTTGGGGATGGGACGCATGGGGACGACGGGTAACCGAATTTACAGGAGGTAGTTGGGGAAAAACGCATTTCAATCTTAAGTCCGTTTTAATACCCCGAAGAGGTGCAGAAGCAGGAGTGCGCGATTCGGCAGATTCCAGACTGGGAGAAAAGTGTACGTCGCGGGTATTAGCCAACAATGACCGGTAGCCTGACTCCAGCCCATAGTCGGCAATAAGCATTGAAGAGAAACTGTGAAGGGCATGTCGCCAAGTGTGCCTAACATGATGGCCCCGACTAGCGATGCAAACGAAGCTGAGAACGTAGACCGTCGTATGTAGGTGGAAACTTCCTCTGGAAGTTGAAGTATGCTGCTGCGCGTGAAGTTCGCGTATAGAACATCTTGTTACCATATTCAATAGGAGCATTCTGGCAAGCCTGACGTTCTCTGTTTATTCCCACCACGTGCAGACCGGTCGGCCGCAGAGCATGAAGACTGCAGGCACAGCTACTGACTCGATGCCAGGAAAAAGAACAAGGGATTAGGTCGCCGAAGTTAGTTGAGTGTTGCCAACAGAAAAAGCTGATGACACGGAAGCCTAATCGCGACTGCAGACGTAAAATGACCTAACAGGTATTGCATCAACACAGAGATGAATATGTGCTTAGGTGTGTCATTGTAGGCGCAAGAGGACACAACGAACGGGTTTCATATTCGAAAATATTAGGCTGACGATACGCAGGATGATAAATACCTACTTAGTTTTCATATCATGAACGTGAATGAAGCTACAGAGCGTGACCGACCTGATGAAATGTTGTCCGAAATTCTGAAATGCGCTTTCGATTAGGAATGATTACTTAGGTGGGGTTGTAATGTCGCTTAGCAAGCAACATACTCTCCTAGTATTTCGGACTCGCTAGGATGTCGGCTTTTGAATGCACTTCATTTCGACCCCCTATAGAAAGCACACTCGGTATAACATGACTACTTAAGTAGCATGTATTTTTCACATTGATTTTCGATGGTCTTATAAATTCAAATATTCGTTATGGAAAACACGCACAAAAGTATGCATTCTTTAATTTTTTTGGTAGAAAATAACATTGTCTTTACATTTTATATCCGAGGAAGGCGTATATTGAGGTTCTGAAAAAGTTCCCCAATTCCTCAATAGTTTTGGGCCGGATCAGTTGCTGAATTACCATTTAGCGATTCCATTCTACAAGGGGCATGCTTTCGGCACAAGAAAAATCATATATTCCTCTATGCCTTAAAGAAGACACCGTATTGAGTTCAAAGAATTTTGCAAGGAATGTGAACTATGTTGTAAATTTCACGAGGAACATTGGTAAGCGGAGATATGAGACGCTGTATGTGTGGACATCGCACGGTCTTAACAATCTCATGAATATAAACTGTTTTAAAACCTAAATACACGCTTTCTTTGGGTTTAAAGTGTAAAGACAATGTTATTTTCTACCAAACAAATAAAAGAATGCATATTTTTGTGCGTGTTTTCCATAACAAATATTTGAATTTATAAGACCATCGAAAATCAATGTGAAAAATACATGCTACTTAAGTAGTCATGTTTTACCGAGTGTGCTTTCTATAGGAGGTCGAAATGAAATGCATTCAAAAGCCGACGCCCTAGCGAGTCCGAACTAGTATGGGAGCATTTTGCAAGATAATCAGTATTACAACCCCACCTAAGTAATCCTTCCTAGTCGAAAACGCATTTCAGAATTTCGGCCAACATTTCATCAGATCGGTCACGCACTGTATGTTCACCGATAATCCAATTGAGTCATGGTGTAGCAGTCTCCTGGTACGGCATATGACAGCGTCTGTTCCAAAGCACTGTTGGAGGAAATGAGGCAATTTGGAGTGCCTGTGGTGGAAGTCCGAATCGACGAGACGTTAATTAACAGAAGAAAACATTGCAAAGAACAGAGAAAAACAGAATTGGACAATGGACATATATGACACGTCACAAAAACGAGTCCTATTTGAACATGCAAACGACAGAAGTTGGATGTCGTTAAGGGTCGTCAGAAGGAAATGGGTAGCTAGAGGTAGTGTTATCCCAACTGACGAGTGTAAAGCATACGCTCGTCTGCCACTTAAGGGGCACGAATACCGCACCGTAAGCCATTCCAGGCATTTCTTCGACCTAGCAACTGGTAGGCAGGCTAACTCGATATAGTCACCGCAAACGCAGATTGCGTGAGAGTGGGTCCGCATCTGGTCGGACAGGTTCGGAAATCAAGGGCGAAGTACAGTTCGATTGTGGTTGAACTTGAGAAACGCATAGGCAAGCGTAAACTCACGTGCGGCAGACAATCGAACCCGCGCATGGAAAAGTGACCAGACTCCCTGTGTCCGACACGAAACCGAACAAGGTAGAAACCGACGACAAACAGGCGGCGCTTACGGTAATCGGGACATATGTGGACGCTGATTGACAATAAAACATAGCAAATCAAAACTGTTGGACGTTGCGGTATGGAAAGAGGTATACACAACCGAAGCTCATCGCCGTCCGGTCGACAAATCCTCGTAAAAGTAGATCGGGGTCCCAACTGGAGGACAGCGGGTGCCGAGCACAAGCACAGGGCATGGGGTGTGTCGCAAGGTATATAAGAGTACAGTAACACAGGTATACGAAAGCCCGTGGACCCCATCTACAGGAATAAGTTAACAGAGAACGGCCAGCTGTGTGCGTACACTCAAAACGACACAAAAGGAAGCTAGTAAGCGCAGCAGGGCATAACTGCGCAGTCACCTAAACGCTAAAAAAGCAGTCTTTAAGGGTTCTGGCAGATCGGCTGAGGCCAAGCGATCGGAGGAAAACCAAAAGAACGGAAACCAAGCAAATTTGATGACCTACACACACACACACACGGGACTGCACACAACGAAGGACTTCGTAAGTGGGCCGGGGTAACTAATTTGAAGTCCACGGTAACTTACTAGACGTGTGTGAAGGGAATGTCTCTATAAATGCCCTATAAATAGTATGCGAAGTGAGGTGGAAGACCATGCGAGGCGCACATGCAAACGGAAAAGAGCATCCTCAAAACCACACGGAACCTTCTTTTGGGCGAATTTCCGTTAACGGTGGACGAAGTTAACCATAACCGTAAACCTAAATCCAATCAAAGGCTGCAATAGTCGGTATGCAGTAAGCAAGCTTAAGCCTCACCCAAGCTCTAGCCTCAAAACTATCCCAAACCATCACCCTAAACTAAATCCTAACCTCAACAGTGAACTGGACTATAAAATTGATTGTAAATCCAACCTTAATTCTAACCCTAACCCTAAACCCAATTCCAACTCTAATTCTAACTCGAAATCTCACCCTTATTCTAGCAATACACCCAGCCCTAATCTTAGTCCCTAAATTTTGGGTTGCGTAAGCAAACATTGCTCTCGAAACCCTAACATAACAGACCCATATAAATTAAATAATTAGGTATGTTATATGAATTACAACAGGTTGAAACCACATTCGCGATCCTTACCGAAAAAGGTGCACTGTCTGGAGAACACACGATGACAAATAGGGCGAAACAACGCTGTGCTCGCCCCCACTCTATTCAATCCAATGTCCTCCGGAATGCTCATGGAAGCCTACTGTGAAAGGTGGTCGGGGATCGACATCAAGTGCTGAGCCGACGGAAAAATTCCCAACATTCTTTACCTGACAGCAGTCCCGAGGACATTCGAGACTAAATTCAACGACCTATTGTTCGCCAGCCAAGCCTAAGCCTGACTAAAGTACTCCGTTTGGGACCGACGCAGAATCTTACCCAGCACGAAACTGGGGGTGTGTAGGACTCTTTCCTGACAAAGGCCTTGTACGAAAGGGAGGCGTGAACTGTTTATGAAGGCCATGCAAGAGGAATCAACCTTTAACGCTTCAGCTGCCTACGATGAAAACTGAAGGTGAGTCGGCACGAAAGGATTCCAGATGCAGAGATCTTTGAAAGAAAGGGCATCCTCAGTATCCACGACATGCTGAAGTAGATATGACTGCGATGGGTCGACCATGTCTTGAGAATGGTAGACGAGCACTTCCCCAAGCGGCTAATCTAAGGCGGCGTAATAACAGTTGTTCGCAGACAATGCGGACAAAAACATCGACACAAGGGCACCTTGATGACCTTACTGAAGCACCTGTAAATCAGTTCAGAGTGTTGGGAGAAGCTCATTCAGGATTGGGTGTCCTGAAGAACAGGAGTGAAGATCGGATCAGCCCCATTCGAAGCAAAAGAGTCACTCGCAAGTTTCAAATTTTGCAGACAAATGACGCTAGCACTGAAAATTTTTCATCATGTCCGCGGTGCCAACGGATATTTCATGCACGGATCGGCCTTTTTGGACATCTTACGGACCCAGAGTACTACCAACGCGGGACCTCCTACTCCCGTCTCAGGAACCGCTCCACCTTCATCCCCACCATCGCAAACCCCACTATGCCGACGACAGTCTTCGCTGGCGAGAAACTTTCCGATGTTCCGCCACCCACCACAATGACCAACAATAATACGACAAGCCTCGCGCCAACGGCCACAACACCCAACACCGATGAGAACACACTTGACGTTTTGTCACCCATCACAACCCCCACCACTGCTACCACAATTGTCTTGTGAACCTGCAATGCGGACTGGATCTGAACATGTTCCTATTGAGATTACGCCTTCGTATCACGCATCGGCCTCGTCGGTCACTTGCGAATCCGTTGTACCGTGAGCGGCGCACCAGTACCCAGAGCCTCCACATACATTCGCCGCATCCGCCTTAACTGTCCACACTGTTAACGCACATTTATGCACCGGTTCAATGCGTGCTCACAACGGCCGAATTTGTCGTAGTATCGACACGCCTGACACAACTTGAACATCCACTATCCCCCCCATTCCCCGTCAAATCAACTTCCCATAGACGAGCGGGCACACCACTAGCAGCACCAAAACGACAACCGACCCAAAATACCTTAGCCTATCGTGTCAACACTCACCGCACGTTCACTTCACACAGCGGTCTGGTGGGCACCTACGAATTCATCGAGACAAACTGACGAAACAGTGTCTGGAGCACAAACATGCCAAGACGTCACCGCCTGCTCGTTCACATGCGTAGGCATAAAAACCTACGGGGCATTAACGCAGACGTGTCGACGTCACCATACATTCCACCTACAGTCCATGCACCACGCATAAACACCTCCAACATCTCGTGCCACCGATTCCTCTCACGTAATTGGGAAGTGTGTATTGGGTAAATTTCTCCCTCTGGCTCCACGGTTGCCTATGAGATCGGAGCTCACTATCCCCTTGCATATGAAATCCTGGTGTGTGCAAACAAGGGCGAAATGAGTGTGTGTGTGTTTGTGTGTCCAGCGGTGGGTTCACGTGATGGTCGTAGTGGTCGCTCACTTGCTTGCAGGTTAGACTACGCGTAGCGTCCACTTGGTGGCACTCAACTCTCCACGTAGCTGGGCTCTGCTCAGCGGCCACACCCCGGGCAACCGCCTCGACCGGCGGGCTAAACCAGGTGAGGGAGTTGCGCGCGTTGTGCCGCGGGCACAGGGTTTGCGGACTCCGCTGGACGTTTGGTCGGATGAAACGTTGCGCCGGCGTCGCCGAGACGAGGCTCTGCCTGGTACGCCGTTGCACAGCCGCTGCCGGGATGGGTCCCCGCATCGCCTTCGCTGAGACGCGCCCACCTACGCCGACGGAGACCGCAGACCTCGGCATATGCGGTCGTTCTCCACTACAAACATAAAGTCGTGGTCCCATAGTGGGATTCGGTCGCGCCAAACAGGCACACAGGCAGCCCGATTCGGGGGGCACTGCCTGTCCCCATTACGGAGGAGGGCCTAGAAAAGGTGGCCTAAACATTGCTGGGCACCACGTCGTCTCCAGGCTAGCCAGGGCCGCAGACGTCTAAACATGGTCGAAACACTCAAAACCGAAACAACAACAATATCAATAACAACAACAACAACCATACTCCTTCTCCTCATCCTACCTCTTCTTCCTCTACCTCCGTCTATACTTCTGTCTATTCTTCTCCTTCGTCGTCTTCTTCTCCACCTCCTTCCCGTCGCCCCACTCGTTTTCTCCAGACTGGCAGGGTGAGTCCGCTCACTCTAGCAGCCTGGAATGTTTGTTCCCTTTTAGACAATCCGCGGAGCAACCGACCGGAACGGAGGACAGCGCTAGTGACCCGTGAACTGGCGCGCTACAAGGTGGAGGTCACCGCACTCAGCGAGACTCAATTCTCCGAACAAGGCCAACTGGAGGAGGTGAGTGCCGGTTACACCTTCTTCTGGAGCGGTCGCCCCAGGACAGAGCGACGAGACGCGGGTGTCGCCTTCGCCATCCGGAACGACATCGTGGGACGACTTCCCTGTTTGCCGCAGGGCATCAACGATCGTCTGATGAGGCTCCGTCTGCCCCTCCGGGGGGGGGTGGGGGCGAATTCGCCCCCATCATCAGCGCCTACGCTTCGCCAATGAGCAACCCCGACGTTGCCGCAAGAGACAAATTCTACGAGGACCTGCACGCCCTCTTGGCGACTGTGTCGAAGGCGGACAAGTTGATTGTCCTTGGTGACTTCAACGCCCGCGTCGGCACAGACCATACTGCTTGGAGAGGAGTGCTGGGCCCCCACGGTCTCCGCGGCTCAAACGACAATGGTATGCTGCTTCTCCGCACCTGCGCAGAACACCGCCTCATCCTGACGAACACCTTCTTCTGTCTGCCGGAGCGAGAGAAGGCCACCTGGAGGCATCCTCGGTCGCGTCAGTGGCACCTGCTGGACTATGTCCTCATCCGGAGGCGAGACCAGCGTGTCTTGCTTGTGATGAAGGCGATCGCGGGTGCTGACGGGTGGACCGACCATCGCCTCGTCATTTCGAAGATGCATATTCGTCTACAGATTCACAGGAGACCACAAGGTAAGCGACCCCCAGGTAAGCTGAGTACTGCCTTGTTGTCTTTTCCCGCTCACCATCTTCATTTCAGCAATGAGATAGCTCAACGGCTAGACAACCTTCCTATCGCTGCCGAGAACGCCTCCGTGGAGAACCGATGGTGTCAAATGCGGGACACGGTCCAGGCGACGGCGCTAGCCGTCCTCGGGCGCGCTCATCGCCAACACCAGGACTGTTTTGACGACAACGACGCCGTCCTCAGCAATCCGCTAGCTGAGAAGAACCGCCTACACAAAGTCTATGTAGATCACCCCACCGACGAAAACAAAGCTGCTTTCTACCGCAGTCGCCGTCACCTTCAGCAACGACCACGCGAGACGCAGGACGCCTGTACTGCCCGCAAAGCTGAGGAGATCCAAGGGTACGCGGACCGCAACGAATGGAAGCACTTCTTCTCCGCGATCAAAGCTGTCTACGGTCCGCCGACGAAGGGCACAGCTCCTCTTCTCAGCGCCGACGGTAGTACTCTCCTGACTGGGAAGACACAAATTCTACAGCGATGGGCCGAGCATTTCCGAGGCGTCCTCAATCGCCCCTCCGCCATCTCCGACGCCGCCATCGACCGCCTGCCGCAAGTGGAGACCAACGCGGACCTCGACTTCCCACCACCTCTCCAGGAAACCATCAGGGCCGTGCAGCAGCTCTCCAGCGGGAAAGCACCCAGATCGGACGCGGTCCCTGCTGAGGTCTACAAACACGAAGGTCCCTAACTCATGAATCACCTGACTGCGCTCTTCCAGGAGATGTGGCGTCAAGGTGAAGTTCCGCAAGATTTCAAGGACGCAACTATCGGGCACCTATACAAGCGAAAAGGGAATCGTCAAGTCTGCGACAACCACCATGGCATCTCCTTGCTGAACATCCTCAGGAAGATTTTCGCTCGCATCCTCCTCAATCGTCTGAATAATCATCTGGAACAGGGCCTTCTGTCGGAAAGCCAGTGCAGCTTCCGTCATCATCGCGGGACCACGGATATGATCTTCGCCGCCCGTCAAGTTCAGGAGAAGTGCTAGGAGATGCGGACCCACCTGTACTCTACCTTCGTGGACCTGACGAAAGCCTTCGACACGGTGAATCGTGAAGGACTGTGGAAGATCATGCAGAAATTCGGCTTGTCCGGAGCGATTTATTCAGATGGTGCGTCAGCTGCAAGACGATATGATGGCGCGAGTCACGGACAACGGAGCTGTCTCGGAGGCATTCGCAGTGACCAACGGAGTGAAGCAGGGATGCGTGCTGGCGCCTACCCTCTTCAGTCTTATGTTCTCTGCCATGCTGTTGGACGCATACCGCGACCAACGCCCGGGACCCGCATCGCCTACAGGACAGATGGTCACCTCCTGAATCAACGGCGGATGCACTTCCAATCACGCGTCTCCACAACCACCGTTCACGAACTTCTCTTCGCCGACGACTGCATCCTGAACACCACCTCGGAAGAGGACATGCAACGCAGCACGAACATGTTCTCCGCCGCCTGCGAGAACTTCGGTCTGATCATCAACAAGCAGAAAACCGTGGTCATGCATCAACCGCCGCCACCCAACACAGCCACTCGCTCCAATGTGCCGTCGCAAATCAGTGTGAACGGAAATCAACTGCAAGTGGTGGAGAACTTCCCGTGCCTGGGCAGTACCCTCTCCCGTAACATAAAAATCGATGACGAATTCGCTCGCAGGATCTCGAAAGCCAGTCAAACATTCGGCCACCTCCAAAGCACAGTCTGGAATCGTCATGGTCTCCAACTGAGCACGAAGCTGAAGATATACAAGACCATCATCCTGCCGACGCTGCTGTACGGAGCGGAGACTTGGACAGTGTACACAAACCAGGCACTTTGACGGAACCACTTTCACCTCAGTTGTCTCCGTCGCATTCTGAGTCTGAACTGGCAGGAACGAATCCCAGACACTGACGTACTGGAACGGACGGGAATCCTCAGCTTCTACACCATGCTGAGACAAATGCAGCTGCGTTGGAGCGGCCACCTGGTGCGAATGGACGACGAGCGACTACCCAAACGACGCTTCTACGGAGACGTCGCGACGGGTTCTCGCCGTCAAGGAGGCCAAATTCGCCGATACAAGGATACTCTGAAGTCCTCCCTGAAGCGACTGCTAATCAACCCGACGAACTGGGAAGAGATCGCCCGCAATCGTCCGACCTGGAGGAAAACAGTGAAGATAGGCGCTGCTATCTACGAAGCCAACGGAATCGCCGCTGGCAAAGTGAAACGCGAAGCCCGCAAATCACAACTGCGCCCAGTACGCAACGCCGATTCACATCCGCTAACAGCGTGTCCTCGATGTCAACAGACATTCCGGGTTGGAATCGAACTTGTTGGGCATCTTCGGATCAAATGTACCTCTCGAACTGCACCAACCATCGCCCCCCCCCGCCCGCCTCTTCCTCGTCCTCTCCGCCGCCAACTACCTCTGACAATTCTTCTGGACCACCACTTCCATCATCATCATCATCATCATCATCATCATCATCATCATCATCATCATCATCATCATCATCATCATCATCATCATCATCATCATCATCATCATCATCATCATCATCATCATCATCATCATCATCATCATCATCATCATCATCATCATCATCACCACCATCATCATCATCATCATCATCATCATCATCATCGTCGTCGTCATCAACGACTGTCTCAACGACGGCCGCTCATGCGGGCGTCTCGCACATCACCAACCCTGTCACAACAACCGACATCACCCCCACTTCCTCTGAATCCAGCGATGAGGACCAGGACTACACCTGCCCTCACTGCGCCCGCAACTTCACCTCACACATCGACCTGGTCGGTTACTTGCGAATCCATCGCACAGAGACTGACGAACCAGTGCCTGGAGCACCAACCCACACCCACCGTACTCGCCTCCACTGCCCATACCGCCCTCGCACCTGCACGCATCGTATGGGCCTTTTCGGCCACAGGCGCATCCACGAGAGCGGAATTGACCACAATTCCGACATACTAACCACATCCAACACAGCCACCATGCCCTGTCCCACCCTCGCTCCATCGCCCTGCGCGCCCATCACGACCACCACTGCCGCCACCACCACCACCACCACCGCCTGCTCTGTAGCCGACACCGACACCGCCGAATTCTCATTCCCACACTGCCCACGCAAGGCAACTATCATTGCAGATTAACCCATGCGCAAGTTATCGTCCCTGATACCACCCTACTGTGGAGCACGCAGTGGAAATCATTGATCACGACGGTAGAAATATCCTCGTTGCGTGTGGGGTTCAGTGGTGTCTGGCTAGGGGTTAAACCGTGTAGATGTGGTAGGTCGTATCACGCAAGCGGCGACTGCTTTGTATGGCCCTTAAGTGACACCTGACTCTCATTTGTGGCTGCCTGAAGTTAGGACCTGCCAAACGGCCACATCGCGGTAACCGTCTCGATGGCGGGCCAAACCAGATCAGGGTATAGGGTGTTGTGGGTGTCCGTAGACTGTCAACAACCGCCCTATGCGCCTGCGCTTGCCTTTTCAGGGAGTCAAACATGTTAACATCGTCAACGTCCATGCCCCTCCCCAAAATGACCAGCTCCGATGAGGAAAACACCATGCTCTACGAAGACCTGCAAGCCCTTCTGGCGACTGTCCCAAGGTGGTCAAGCTGGTTGTCCTTGGTGTCTTCATTGCCTGAATTGGGAGAGGCTGCGCTACCTGGAGAGTAGTGCTAACTACACATGAACTCGGCGACTGTGACTATAACGCGTCCTACTCCCTCTGTGAACACGCGCGGAACACCGGCCGTTCATGGCCAATACCTTCTTCTCCATTCCGACGCAGAAAAAACGGCCTGGAGGCACCCCCGGCCTCCGCGGTGACGTCTGTCAGACTACGTCCTTGTCCGAAAGCGAGATCGACGGGATGCGGTGGTGACGAAGGCTGGACGGATCACCGTCTCGTCATCTCTAGGATGGGGCGCCAACTATAGCCCCGCAGGAGACCGTAAGGTAAACGATCTGTTGAATTTGTCTGCTCCCGGCTTAGATGTCAGCAATCAGTTAGTTCGGCGTCTGAAGAATTGCAGGCTCCGAACGACGAAGCCATGGTGTAGGAACAGTGGCACCAACTGCGGAATATCACCTTCTTCATCGTCCTGGACGCCCTCGGTCGCGAACGTCGTCAGCACCAGGACTGGTTCAACGCCAAGGACAATGAAATCCGCAATCTGCTCGCTGAGAATGATGGGCAGCACGAAGCCTGCAACGACCGGCAGACTGGCGCAACCAAGGATGCCTTCTTCAGGTGTCGCCAGCTTGTGCAGCAACAGCTGCGGAAGTTCAGTTCAGTTCAGTTTATTGAGGGAAATAGGCGTAAGCCTTTGAGTACCCTATTTGCAGAAATAGTTCCAACACGCCCATAATGGTGGGACAAAATGAGAAGGAGTTACAGGGGATGAGCTCGACTTCTCATCGCTCTTGGCCATTTTGGAACATAAATATGTCAAGATTCTTTTTAAAACTTTGTATGGATGGTGACATCACAACATCTGCGGGAAGGGCATTCCATGGTTTGACCACTCGAACAGAGAAGGAGAACTTCCGTACATCCAACCTTGCATGCTGAGTGCGCAGTTTTAACGGGTGACCTCGGAGGTTGGTCGTGGTAGCAAATTCAAAAAAAGTTCTCGAAGGCCAGACTGCAATCCAACCCCTTAACAATGCGGAAGGCCTGCAAGAGATCCCCGCGAAGTTGCCTATAACTCAAAGGAAAGAGATTTAGATTTACTAGGCGGGTTGCATAAGGAGAGGAGCTTTGACCCCTAACCATCTTCGTGGCTCTCTTCTGGACTCTCTCGAGGCAGTTTTGATCCTCAACCGCCCACGACCTCCAGCCTTGTATGCCGTACTCTAAATGCGGCCGGACGAATGTTCCGAATGTCTTTGAGAAAGCTTCTTTGTCATAGTCCATAAACGCACGCTTGATGGAGTACAGTACGGACATTGCGGTTTTTGCCACTCTCGAACAGTGGGCAGATTGCTTTAGGGAAGTGATCGTCAGCACACCGAGGTCCTTTTGGGCTTCGACCTCTTTTAAGGCTGCAGCGTCCAGAGAGTAGTTTCTTGTGCTGGCGGATCTGGCTGTGTTGCCTAGGCGAAGTATGCTATATTTGGCAACGTTGAACCGCAGGAGCCAACGTTTTGACCACTCTCCCAACCGATTCAGGTTCATCTGCAGTCTGCCTTCGTCGGCAGGACCCCGATTTACACTCCATATCTTCATGTCATCGGCAAACATTGCTACTTCGCAATCTAAATCTCTTGAGGCATCGTCCACGTGGATAAGGAACAAAATGGGTCCCAGTACTGAACACTGGGGGACACCAATCTCGACCATAGCAGGGTCTGATTTTCCCCGACCGATGCAGACAACCTGGCGTCGACTCAAAAGGACGTTTTCAATCCATTTAAGGAAGTTGCCACTGATCCCTCTGGTGTGGCACGGCGTCGAACACCTTCTGGAAGTCGATAAAGGCTACGTGGACAGCGTGCCTGTCATCGAGAGCTTGGGTCCAGCTCTGGAGAGATTGCAGCAAGTTTGTCGTGCAGGATCTTCCCTTCCGGAACCCATGTTGGCATTTCGATAGTAGGCCGTGAACCTCCAGGAATTGCATCAGTTCACTCTTTATGATCCTTTCCATAACTTTGCAGAGAATGCATGTCAAGCTTATGGGCTTGTAATTTGTCGTCGCTGCCCTGTTACCTCCTTTGTGTAGCGGAGTAATATGCGCCAGCTTCCAATCGATAGGTAGTGTTCCAGTGTCAAATGACGTTTGAAAGAGCATCGACAAAGGCACAGAAAGCTCACTGGCAAGTTCCTTGAGAAGCTTGGGTGGAATCTCGTCTGGTCCTGGTGACTTCGATCCGTTCAATGCCTCTAATTCTCTTCGGACAATGCCTTCTGAGAAGAGTATATCGCTGACTCTTGGGGTCCGCAATTCTTCTGTGGAGGGAGGAATGAACCTTGCCTCGTTTGTGTAGACTGATTGGAAAAACTGTGAAAAATGCGCAGCTTTATCCCTACTATCAGCAATCTCAACGCCATCAGTAGTCCTTATTAAGGGGATTTGACGCCTGTTCCTTGTACTTCGTCGGAGGTAACTGTAGAGTAATTTTGGGTTCTGCGTTGCTTTTTGTAGCAAGTGCTTCTCGAATTCCCGTCGCGTTTTCATGATCAGGTTCCTCAGTTTGTTCCTCTGTGTCTTATAGTTGTTGAAATATTCAACTTGCCCAGTGACGCAGTATTTTCTCCACAATTCGTGCTTCCTATTGATTTCTTTCTTGAGGTTGCTATTTAGCCACCCAGGGCGTTTGTTTAGTCTTACACTTGTCAGTGGGCAGTGGTTGTTGATAAGCTGCAGAAGGACATTCTTGAACAGCCCCCAGTCATCGTTGGTACTTCCCGTAAACAATGAGCCCCAGTCAAGACCGGATAAGTTTGCCCTCATCTGATTGAAGTCGCCTCGCCAAACATTCCGTCTTTTTTGGTCTGGAGAATGCGAAATGGAAAATAACGAATAATCCCACATAAGCACCACGTGATCACTTCGGCCAAGAGGCGGCATGGGGGTGATCTCGTCTATGCTATCTGGTGTTTTCGTAAAAACCAGATCAAGGCAGTTTGCCCTTTGTCCTTCACGTGTTCTCGTTGGTAACATTACATGTTGTGTGAGGGATGCCTTTAATGTTTTGTTCTGCAGACGGTAATCGAATGCCGATTTTGGACCTGAGGCTTGGAGGGTATTCCAGTTTGTTCCTGGTGCGTTTAAGTCGCCCATGATCATGAGGTTAGGTCGACTGGAAAATTTCCCCAACTGCTCTAATAGTTGAGTGTCGGCGATTTGGTTTGTCCTAGGTGGTCGGTAGACAGTGAGGACATCGAGACACGGGGAACCGGTAGCCTTGATGGTCAACCAAATAACTTCCGTACTGCACGCAAACTTAGTGGTGTTTTCCGACACTGCCAGGCCTTCATTCACATATACAACTATACCACCGCCCTGACGATTTTCCCTGTCCCTCCGATAAATTTGGTGTCCAGGCAAGGCTACTTCGCTATCGCTAGTATTTCCGGACAGCCAAGATGTCCACAAAGATTTCACAGGCTGACCGGACGGAAGTGGTCAAGTTACCTTAACAGACCTTCATTCTTGCGTACATTCATTTTGACAAATTATATGTAGGACTGCCTTTTAGAACAGCAATTGGCAATGGCATCAGGCCAAAACAGTGTCTGTGGGTCTCATTTGGTGCCATTTATTCTCCGTGATCCCACGTTGTACCAGAATTCTCTGAGCTATTTATTTAGCCAACCTGTTGTTACTTTGTCTTGTGAGTTCTCTGCTAGTCTATAAATCCGACATGATTAAGAAAAGTCTTGGCTTTCTGATTCCAGACTTCTCGGTTGATAATGACAGTTGTTTGCCTCTAATCAGTTTCTTCATTGCTTTTGGTTCATTCTCTAAAATATACTGACTTTGTCCGTGCACCATAAGCGAGGAGGCAATGCACTGTCTGACGGAGTGTTTCTTGTCGTCTGTTGTTTAAATTCTCACATACATAGCTTCCATGCTGCAATGAAGTCTACCGAATCGGAATCTGCGATGTTGAAGCAAGATTCGTGCCTTGACACCCTTAGTTGCTGTTCTATTAGCTGTTTAGGTGAAGAGTCGTGGACCAAGTTTGGGCGTCTCGTGTCTTCTAGCATCCTCAATCGTTTCAGAATTTTAGCTTCTTGAAGAACAGTCTTTTTCTGATTTACCATACTTAAACGTGACGTAGTCTGATGTAAAGTAATAGAAGAAATGATTTAATGTATAATTTCCGTAATATACCGATAGGTGATAGAAAATCTAAAGTGCTCAATAAGTGTAATTTTTGCGGGTGCTTCGCTCAGGTGGGTGGAAGGACGCTAAACGAACTCCGACAAGTCTTCGTGCGCTGGCGTATTTTTCTTGCAATCAGCGTTGCAACCTAAACTTGCTTAAAATGAGCAAGAAACTGTATCAGAACGTCAAATAAATGTGAAAAGACCGAATATGACGGCCCTCCCTAACTCCGGACAAGTGCTATGACAAAAAATCAGTGACCGTTTACAAAAGCATCCTTAACTTGTGGCGATGCATGCGGCCTAACACGGTTGTGCAACTGCCCAAGGGCGGCCGCTCGTGGTAAGTACCAGGAGCATGGGATAAGTCAACTTCCAGCATTTTAACTGCACACGCATTATAGTTCGTCCGTCTCAGTTGACAAGGCGTACTGATGGTCTGCATGGAAACAGTGGAGACTTGCGCATGAATATGCTTATAGTGGATCACGCTTTCGCTAAGTCTACCCCACTCTTCCTTCCAGATCCACCAGATTCCAGTGGCAAAGCAAAGTGCAGACGATCTGAGATGGCTGAAGTTCAATATCCTGTTTTCACTTGTCACTCGCGCAGACTCTTCCCTGCTTCATAATAACTAGGCCAGAAGAGAAGGTATGGGATTTCACATGTATGAAAGTACCACAAGGGTCAAGTTAGCCAGAAACCACTGCAGTCTTACCATAATTACAGAAAAGATTAGAATCCAACGCACGGCCATTAGCGCATCATATAAGTTTAGAAACGCATTTGACTCTGTTTTAAGGGAACAAAGCGTTGAGCATTAGCTGAATCGGCCTCACTCTCTGCTTTCTGTTTCATACTAACTACAAGTTTGAGTCATGGCGACTGGATGCAGGCTCATAGAGCCTCCATACAACGCGTGTCATACATGTGTGCCGATCTCAGCGAAAGCAAATCTCGTCAAAAATCTAAAAGGCCACTTTGAGAAGGAGTCATTTAGGGCTGGTCCTCCTTCCAGACGAGACCAGAGCCAGCCCATCAAGTGACAGTCTCCTGTCCCACCTTCCTTATCTCATCGTGAGAGTCTCCTGTGTCTCTTATTGACTATAGCGGGGAGATCATGTTGTGGACTGTAATAAGGAGTAATTTCCACCACCAGTTCCACTTCCTCTCTTTGATTAAGCACTAGCGATTTTCTCTGTGTCTCGGTTGACCAGATACGAGATTTAGTACAGTAGCTGACGTGGCATAGAACCTTTCTCTGACACGTGCCACGCGCGACTACGGGTTAGGACTGAGTTGGAATTTCTGGGGGTTTTCCATTGTATCACGGAGGTCTCGCATTTGCGATATCTATCGAGATGTTTGATGTCGATAAAGCCAGTGTGATGGGCAAAGGCGAGCTGACTCTTTTTTTGTCTAACTAAAGTGACTTCCGAAAGAGAGACAGAACAGCGGCAGTGCTTTTGTGTTTTCATAGTCGACGGTTGAAGACTGTGTCCCATTCGTCGTAACGGCTTCCAGCTCTACACCCCCTGTGGTTCTCTCAAGCTTTATCCGGAATTTCCTGTCTGAAAGACCCCCCGTGATTGATTCTCTTTGAGGATATTATTTACGCTGTTATTCTGTGCTTATTGTTATATTATCTACATTTCTCAATAAACTATATTCATCCACATCGCTATCTGACGACTGCTTGCCCGGACGATTGTACAAACAAATGTCTATCCATCAACACAACTAATCGATTGGAGAACCCTTTCTCATAGCTTCTGCAGCGAAGCAGTCCGAAGGATCTGGCAAACCGACCCTCGAAGACGAGATGATTGACGCGAGTACTACACCAGATCTAAAAAGCGGCCACTTCGAGGACATATGGGAGCGGCCTTCTTGGCGTTGTTAATGTCCTGGGGAACTGCGAGCGGATTTGAAGTTATTGACTAAGGCGAATGCGCCGGTGTTTTTTAAGGTTAGATGAGGCGTTGGCCGTGTGCTGGGTTTGGGCAGTGGTGGCACTTATCCTTGGAAATACAGCCTTGCGTGTTAAATGCTCCTTGGGCCATTATATACAATCGGTTATGAGGGTTGCTGCTCTGGATTTCATTGGAAATGAATATTCCTCTCGATCCTGCGTAAGGCCTTTCCAATTTTCTCGTCCCACTTGAGTTCACTTCAGCGAGTTATTTGTGGTGTTCTCGTAACATTCCTTTTGACCACTATGGGGACGAACATTGCCAGCCACACCGCCATAGAACAATCGCTTTGGCGGCCCACATTATTTATTCCTACGAAGTGACCGTACTGGAGGAACTGAACCTCCGACCACAGTGCAAGTATGTTGAAAATGTCAGTCGATTCAAAGACCCGGGTACTCCAAATAATCTATTTTTATTCCACCCTTAGTAACCTCTGGAGACGGCTCAAATGATAGTATCTCGGCTTTTTTGCTTGGTTGCTATTGATTGCTTAGGTATTCATACTATAAGAGATTTTTGATGCTACAGCTCAGT